GTCCACAAAAAACACTGAGGTGTATGCTGTATATAACCATAACGGAATTGGGGGCGGCACGATCCCAGTTTGCATGGCGTGCGCCTGCGATTAGGCCTGCCACCACAGTCTATCGAGACGCGTACGGCTGACGTTTGTTCTCCACTGGCATAATGCCGGTCACTCTCACAAAATTAGTCTTGCAAATCTGGTGCATGCAGACGAGAATTCACCGAGAACACGTGTTTACTCAGCCGTCCGCTGAGTGTAATTTAATGCGAATGTTTGGTTTCTATCACTCAAAATAGTGCCCTTGTCCATTACACCGATTATGTTGGTTTTTAACTTTTATTTCAGACCCCTTCGAATCCGTTACTGAGGCTCGAAACACTTTAACTGCCGCCTCTTTTACGTCGCCTGAATGCAGTCGTTTGGTAACCGGCGCCTTGAGGAAGACGATGACGTTTTTAATGAGAATGCCTGGTATGTGGTTCATACGTCTCTTGCTTTGGCTATTATGTAGTTGCTATTTTCCACCTATCCCTTTTCTTGCTTGAATGATGGCTCCCAATAATTTCTTCCACGATTCGACCTTTAAAGTAGTAAGCGCCATTAATTGCGCGCGTTGGAGTCTTACGACGGGCATCTGGTCGTTGCTAATGCACTTTTGGTGGTTTAAAACTATCTCTTGTTTTAATCGTGAAATTAAAATTACTGGCTGTGACTGAAATGGACTTCGAACTGCGTGATCTATTCTGAATGCATTCTTGTCGTTAGAGCCCCCAGGCCATCACGTAATTATCAGTGACCGAACGTGAGTAAGAGGGAGTTTCGTCACAATTTTCTGCCGGTGGCATCCACAAGATCGCAACGAAGACGATCTAAAAACCCGATGTTTTTTCGGAAGTTTGGTATTCTAATAATGGCTCCATTAAAAAAGCAGCAATCACTATAATCGGATCATCATTTTCAGAAAATCGTCATCATGCCTGTGCAATTTACCTGTAAATATTTTGAGATGAACAACTTCCCCCACCATACCATTATGAGTTGTTTTGCTGTATAAAACTAACCCGTCTTGACTCTTCAGCACACGGTCGCCGAGCGCAAAGTCGTGCTGCCATTTGATGTAGAATCTCTTCGCTAGTATCCACCGGACTGAGACACTAACGTACCTCTGAAAAAATTGCTGGGCTTAATTTTTAATCTGAATGCCGATAGGGGCGCTAAGATGGCTACTTATTCTCTGCACAATTAATGTACAGTTTGGACTTGAAGATTATCCTCATCACTGGACCGTGTATCTGCGGCCTGCAGACCTGTTTGTGGAGAAATTGGAGAAAAACCAGCTCACACCAGCTGTCGGCGAACTGAATTTCCTTTCACGACGGATACGCCAGTGATATTTTTGCACGACCAATTAAAATCTGTTTGGTTTACCGTACAGACAGAAATCGAGTCATCATTTCTTCTTCTAGACGTCTCGCTGAGCATAAGGTTAGACGACAAAGTCCATAAAAAATTTTCTGACAACGAAATCAACACTGAACGAAGTACACACCTCCACACTGCTTTTTACAAACGACGGTTAAAGCCTGATTAGTTGATTGGTCAATAGAGCCCGAGAGATACTCGTAGAGGCAATGCCGGAAAAAAAGAGTTCCATCGCGTAGGGGATAGTCGGTATCCAGCCAAATTGACAGAAAAAGAATATGGAAGAACGACCGTCAAACTCAGGGGAATGTATGGCCGAAAAAATGTACCTTCACAAGACTTTCATTTGATGGAGATAAAGCAAGCAGACTGCTGAATCATCGTTTGCATTTAACTGTACCGCGTGGGTGCGCCCTGCGGATAAAGCTTGAAAGGAATCTTAACAGTAGTCCGCTCTCTCATCCAGAAGGTTGACTCTTTAGACCCTATCAGCATGTATCTGTTCACCTGTTCCTGTGTAGTAGGTCATGCAAATGTAGAAGGATACGCAAACACTGTCCAGTCTGGTCGGGGCACGATCAGGTCCACCTTGTGTGCTGTCCTAACCCATCTAATTGATATGATCACCGGAAAAACGTCAAGGAGACCTTTCGTGTTGTGCACAGGGCACGATCGAACTTGGTCCTCTGGGCTGCCTAGGCTGCCGATGCACCTTTCTGGCTTCGCAGTCCTCCGGGTGCCGAGTTGCCCTTATTAGTTACTTCGCACGATGCTGTGGTTTGAGCAACAGACGCACTTCGGTGACCTCTTCGATTGGCGACTGGCCTGCATACGTCCCACTCCGGTGACCCACTTTGTGTAGTCTGGCTTCCGGAGTAGTGAGGAACCAGCCGTGTTGTGGCACGAGTGGAGGCGGTTTGCGTCAAGTCTGGACCACGATGACATCAGGAAGTCAGTTCCTCACGAGTTATCATCCACTCAGTCACCTCCGACACCCCTCCAACCCGCTTAAAAAGTTCTACGGAGAGAGCGACAGCCAATCGGCTGGGCGACCACAGCCAAATGGAGTCATTTGCCCATTACACCAGTCGTGAGAATCGGCAACTGTCTGGGGTCTCTTATCAGCCCTATTTGGGAATGCAGTGCTTAATTCACACGAGGCATGGGACGACTATAAGAGGTGCCATAAACAGGCGCTGGTTTACGCGGCCCACGGCCGACCGCAGCTGCTGGACGCGATGCATGCGGTCGAAACGTGAGAAGAACAATACTCTCCCCACCAATGTTTTCATCCAATCTGGTTCAAGGTTAACCAAATGGCTAATTTCCGGTCGCTGTTTACATTCATCCCTCCTCACAAAAATTGCCTCCACCCACCTAAAGTATTTATAAACCTCAAATGCAGTTGTGCAGACCTGTTGCTTACTTGCCGAAACGGTCTTTCGGTCACTGGCTTATTCAAGTTTGCAAGAGGTGAAAAGGCCATACAGGGACTGAAAAAGGCGCGTAACTTTAATTCTTTTAACATGATCCAGGCGCCCTAGTGACGGAAATTTGTTCCAATATAGTTTTTTCTTTTCAAGGCAGGATAGGCTTACGTCCGGAGCCTATAATACATAAGTTGCTACTGGCGTATAAGAGATGTTGATATCGTTTAAAGTCGCGGACCTCATAGGTAGTTTTTCTTTTCAAAGGGACCAGTACGAGTGGACAGAAGAAATGGAGCGAGAAGCCCAGAATATGATAGATCTGGCGTCACAAGAACCTCTGCCGGCAGAGAAGCGAGGTAGTCGCTTCCTTCCGAAATCACCCAAATGTGT